TATTTTTATATTGATAAAAGAAGAAAAATAACTTAGAACGTTGATCAATAGTAAGCATTTTCTTCCATCCGCCGCTCCAGAGATATAAATTTTACTTCATTAAATATACTTCGCCTCAATGTTTATAGAATTTATACGATTTGTCTACTTTAATTTATTACTTTCTTCATATTTTTAAAAGTAAAATAATTTATATTTATAAAAAATAAGACCAACAGATTTAAGTAAGATAAATAAAGATCGATCACATTGTCATCTTCACGATCATATTTCTTAGTAAATATCAAAATGTTTAACTTCTCCATTAAAATTATAACGTTATTATTTATATATATTTATTATTTTCAAGATATAATTAAACTTCGATTTAGTGCCATCTGAAAATGACACTAAATCGAGTGTGTCGCTAAACTGAGGGTGCCTCAGAGAAGAATTTTCTACCCACAAGTTTTAGTTTGGGTGTTTGGAGGCCAGGTGATTCGAATGGAAACAATGTAAAATCGTTCTGTTTATAGGTAAAATCATTTAAAAAGTACTCATAAATGGATAGTGCTATATAGAAGAGCACTATATCGAGGACTGACTAAGATAAAACTAAAGAAAATTTCAAATTTACTCACCTTTTTACGTGATTTTTAACTCTTCGAGTTTTCAGCAATCGTTTTAATGATTAAAATACACTTTTTTATATTATCTGCCATAGTGATAAATGCCTTTTTATCTTATCATTCATCATATTTTATAATTTACTCCCTTTTTTTAATATTTCAAATACATTTAAGATTATTCAAATCACTTGGAAGAGGATGAGTGTAAGATGCCATTTAAGAAAAGTAGAAGAAGTTATTAATATATTCGGTAAAGATTATTTAAAAAGAAAAAATAAAAAGGTATTATAGTTTGATTAACAACTGTCAATTTAGTTGATTGTCGATGCTCGATCAAATCTCGGAGGTAAAAACCTGTCGTTTCTTCCGACCTTAAGCCAATATTCTATTGACCGTCTCAATCAATAACAAAACGTTCTTATTTGCACAAGTAAGTGTGTTTTTTACTGAAACGTCTTCACATTCCACATTTGCTTTTCTCAAGAATAAAAGAAATAAAAATGAAATATTAAAAAACTCAGAACGATGTAACTAAAGAAATTTTCTTCTTGTTCTTGTTCTTCTTCTTTTTGCTCTTCTTCTTCTTCTTACTCTTCGTTTTTGCTCTTCTTCTTCTTGCTTTTTTTGCTCTTATTTGCACTTCTTTTGCCCTTCTTTTTCTTGCACTTCTTCTTCTTGCTCTTCTTTTTTCTTGCACTTCTTGTTTTTTTTTCCTTCTTTTTGTTCTTGTACTTCTTGTTCTATAAGTTCTCGCTTCATTCACTTGCTCTTCTCGCCATTTAATAAAAAAAAAGAATAATAATAAATAATTATTATTGTGCTTTTTGAATTTAATTTTGATGTAACTTTGGTAAAGATTTTTCAAGGATTTTTATTGTTTAAAATTCATTTTTATTTTGTTATTTTGGTATTGATTTTGCTGCATAGTAATTAATAAAAATCGATTTTATTGATTTTTTTCATACTTAAAAACTGTTTTCATTTTTTAATTTCGTGTTTTTATTCTCTTTTGTTTATTTATTTTTTATCGTGTGATGTTAATAAGAACTTGTCGCGGACCTATCGCAACGCGTTGACACATCCGTTCCAAGTTTTTCCCCCCTTGTTTTTGTATAAAAATGGTTTTTAAATTTAAAAAAATCAATAAAAATTACTTCATTTATTTTGTAAATTGCTCATTTTTCGTGTTATTAATATCCTAGAGTCAGAATTTTTGTATAAAATAAAATTATTTATATAAAATCGCTTTCGCTTTGTCGCACTCTCTGGCACATCGAAGCGATTGAAAAAATAAGACGTAAAACGATCGAATTTTTATTTAAATTTGTTTTACAATTATATACTTTTTGTGGTTTTACTCCGCACAAAATATAGTTTATTTCAGCTATTGATTATTTTTAATCAATGCGATTTATTTGAATCGATTTCAAAAGCGACGCGACGTCGCGTCGCTTTTGAAATCGACACATTTGAACGGCGCCATTTTTTTTAAATGGCGGAAAAATACAAAAAAAAATTATATTTAAATTGTATATCTACACTCAAAATGTACAAACGAGAATATTCACTATAGTATTTTCTATATAATAAAATATTTTCTTTGACTGTATAACGTGATGGATAGAGAATTTAAAAATTATAGTGCTCTATATTTATGCTTATAAAACCATTATATCACTTATTTTATATATAAAAAAAACTCGGAAAAAGTGATTAAATCTATCCTTTTTTCCCTAGTCTTTCAGTGAAAAATAATAGTAGAGGTAGCAGAGAAAATAAAACAAGTCAACAACAACAACAACAACAACAACTGACCTCCTTAGATCATTATTTTAATGGAGATGGAGAAGCGTAAGTTTAAATTTATGCTAATTAAAATAATTATAATTACATATTTTCGTTATATTTAATTATATATATATACATATATAAGGCCTACGTTAGAAGAAATCAGGACGTGGGGAGAATCCTTTGACAAACTCATGAAGTGTGCTTGTAAGTAACTTATTCTATAGTTTAGCAATTGTATGGGATAATTTACGTAAAAACATAATGAAAAATTAATATTTTGCCTATAAAAATAGCTGGAAGAAAAGTTTTTCGAGACTTTCTCAAATGTGAATATAGCGAAGAAAATATTCTATTTTGGTTGGCGTGTGAAGATCTTAAAAAAGAGTCTAGACCAGATATAATTGAAGAGAAAGCAAGATTGATCTATGAAGATTATATATCAATCCTTTCTCCAAAAGAAGTAAGTACTTAATTATCAAGAAATGTAGGGTGGTTCCTAAAGGTACTGTACCTACACAGTTTAATGCTTTATTACAACCGAAGGATGAGGTGTGCCATTGGAATCAGCATTTGGATCCATTCATACTTTAATGTGAACTATGATTAAGTGAGAAAATCTGCAAGTAGAGAATAGTTTCGATAATTGAGTACCAATGAACTTCTTCAAAATGTTTGCCATCAACTTTAGTGCACCATGAAAGTACAATGAGGAGGATTGACCGGCCTGAATACCGGTCTCCAGATCTGAATTTTTGAGACTTTTTATAGTGCTATCTCGAGGTTAGAGTGTACTAAATCTATCTATACACTTTTCGAAAAGTTCAGGTCACCTACTGAGTATAAAATCTTCACTCTTTCGAGATATGCACTTCAAAATGCGATGCCAGATTTTGGGATAAGATTAAAGATGGTCGAGATCGAAGTTGAGGCAAAAATATTGAACGTATTTTAATATAAATGCTGATTTTAATGATATTTAAGTAAAATATATATATCTCATCGTTCAATTGTAATAAACATTAAATTTGGTAGGGCCACCATGTACAGTACTTTTTATAGTGTGTTTTATTAGTATGTATATATTCTTATCTTTCTATAGGTGAGTCTAGATTCACGTGTTCGAGAAATTGTTAATAGAAACATGGTTGAACCTACATCGCACACATTCGACGAGGCTCAATTACAGATCTACACACTGATGCATCGTGACTCATATCCTCGGTTTGTTAACTCACCCGTGTACAGGAAGCTTGCACAGTTACCATCTCCGAGCAGGAAGGGAAGTATGGCATAGAAACATTCCAAAAACAGCAAACCAAAAACAAACTATAGTCATTGATTCGCGATTCATCGAATATTCGAAAAAAAAATAATAATAATAAGTAAATAAAAACTGTTATTCGTCCAAATACACTAGAGAAAATGTGTACAGGAGCTCAATACGACAGACAACAGCTAACGACCAAGACGATAAAGAGAGGAGCCTACTATACACCTGGTACCTGATATCCCAATTGGGGATCTTCTAGTCGAACTATCACTTTCTCGGTAGTAATTTCGGTTCGCCGTTGAATGTCACCTTTTTTTGTAGTAAAAAGAAAAAAAACCATGAAAAATACAAACAAACAAGAAAACAAGAAGCACGCGAGCACTTTCCCTCCTCCCTCTACTCCTCCTACTCCTCGTCCTCCTACTCCTATCCTTTCTCCTCTCCTCTTCCTCCTCAGATCTGTTCTCTGGTATCACTGTGCCAAATGCCGCCACGAACACACATCACACGTTTGCGATCCCACATTATTTTTATACATTGAAATATCATTTCTCCCTTAGATTTGCTATTTCAAATTTATAATGGTGTGGAATCGTTTTTAGTACTCCTAACATTCCGAGATATTTTAATCTCTTCTGCTTTTTTTAGGCTTTTTTTTAAGCCTGCACACGAAAACAAACGAGCAGAATGAAAAAAATATATATGTATAAATAATAACAACCAACAATAATAATACCGAGAGCAATTATACACATAATATAAATAAATAAATCTTGCTCTTCTCGCCATTTAA